AAGAAATTACTAAGAGCTCCGAAAATTCTGTTCTTATTAGGAACATTAACTGTAAATTCCTATGCTTTTTCTCTACTAGAAGTGGCAATTTAAATTTGTCCTTAATGACCTTACCAATCTTGACAGACGATAGTGGGCAAGTACGAAAAAGAGTTAAAAGAGTAGAAAAATAAGGTCATTGAGAAGAAATTTAAATTACTACTGCTAGTAGAGAAAAAGCATATGTATTTGTTTGTTTTTATCTTTCTTGAGAAGAAGAAAGAGAAAAAAGGCAAATGAGTGCAAAAGTGATACTGCATAGAACATAATTTCATCGTTCTTTTTTTGCGAGTACATCACCCATCGATTCTATTTTCTCACATGTCTTTTCATGATGACACCGATAATGTTCATCCCTCAGTTAATGATTTATATTTGGATCAACCATGTACAAAAAAAGAATTATATGGTAATGAATCATTTGGCTTTGGTTCCATGCAAGGATGGAGAAGATCACAGGAAGATTCTGCAAAACATTTAATTCCATTTGATAATCATTTATGGAAAAATTGGTCTTATTATGCTATTTTTGATGGTCATAATGGTGTTCAGACAGCAAAAAATGCTGCTGATCTTCTCGATAACTATCTTATACAAATGTTTAAGAGAACAGAAACGAAAATGAATGATGATCAATTTGATGAAATTATTAAAAAAACTTTTATTCAATTGGATAAACATTTAAGCCACTTAGTGAGAGATCATAGTGGTTCTGTTTGTGTATGTATTTTGTATTAAATGAAAAAAAGAAAAAATTCTTTCAATGGTTGGATATTTAGATAGCATCTTTAATTGGACCAAAAAATATTTTTTTAATTAATGTTGGAGATTCTCGAGCGATTATTATTTCAAAAGATGGACAAGTTTTAGCATCAACGAAAGGTTCTATTCACTTTGATATGTTTATTAATTTTGATTTTCTTATTTCTAGATCATAAACCAACTGTTAAAAAAGAACAAGAACGTATTCGTAAAGCAGGAGGTCATCTAACACAATCGCCTGGTGATGTCTTACGTGTGGAAAATCAACTTGCTATGACGCGTGTATTAGGAGATTATTCATTAGATAAAAATATTATCCCGGCTGTACCTGATATTATTCAATATGTAAGAGATTCCTCAGCAGCATATCTTATTCTTGCCTGTGATGGTATTTGGGATGTTATGGATAATGAACAAGTTGCCAAATTTGTTTCTGAACGAATACCAAATACAGCTTTGGATAACATTATCTCCCAGTTATTCGATCAATGTTTACAAAAAGAATCTTCAGATAATATGACTGCTTATATTGTTCAACTCGATCGAAATTGACCAGTTTTTTAATTAACTAACAAAAATAATTCAGCTTTTTCATTAAGAATTCTTTACTTAAAGATGGCATTGTTTAAACTCCATATCTCATCAAAAGATATATGTGAATATTGCAATAAAACTACCTACGAGATTTAGTTAGTCTTCACTACTCTAGTATTTGATCTTTTTAACTATTCGACTAAAACATTTCTAAGTAGACCTGCAAAAGTCAATGATGCATGCAACGAGCAATGGAAAGCTGGAAAAATATGTATTTCTCTTATTCAATTCAAAATTTCATATCTTTCTCTAATCATCCAATACCGACTTCTCCAAACCATTATCCCATCAAGCAGTTTTATTCTATATTTTTATTCAACTTATTTGTGAGAAAATGTTTGTAGCATAATTTATTTCATGTTAATATTCATAAAAAAAATACACGCAAAAGAGAAGTCTTTATTTGCATGAAATACATGATGATATACCCATACAAATAACAGTAAGTTTCTAAGTAGCACGTTGTGCACTGAATAAACTGTCTGTACTGATTATTTCGTCATAAACGAGGTAAGAAGCACTCTGTATTTAACATGAAACAAATAAATCTATACGATTATCTTCATTAAGCTTAATATTTCGATAACAGTCTATCGATAGATCATTAGATATAAGTAATACACAATGACATTGATAATTCAAAGCTGTTGATACTGAATTCAGTGTAGCAATTTTTCTTTTAATAAGAAGAATAATCAAAGTAATGATTATTAATGAAATATGTTTACTTAACATGTTAATAAATAATTGAAAACGATTTTCTTTTTTGAATATATCTCGATGACTTTTATATAGTACGTGCTTGCTTATATGGACAAATTGATATAAGAAAGTACGAATCAATTGAAATGATTTTATTTTCACTGAGTGTATGAATATTAAGTATAATGTCTTACAAAAAATTATTATTGAAACAGTATTCGTGTTCGAATGACATAGTTGTCTGACGTCGTAGAATCCATCAAGTTCATCTTAATAAAAGTAACTTAGTTTGGTCAAATATTAAATAAATCATTCGAACAAGAAATGAGTTCGACATCAGTAGTGGGATCGGTTCGGGTTTTTTTCAAACCTAGCCGAGCCGAACCGAACCAAATGAATTTTTAAAAAATTTGAACTGAAGCCAATCGAACCAAACCGAGTCGAACCGGTTTTACTTAAAAACTCTTAAAATCTCTCTCATTCTGCACTGACATTCGTCGTAGACCATCAGAACCAAGAAATCTTTCATATCTATGTATGATATTCCAATATCTGTGAACTAGACGTGGCACTTTACGTTCATTTTACCAGTAAATAGTAAATATTAACTAAATAAATAATTTACTATTAACTTCTAAATAAACAAAACTTCTACTGTTTACAAATAAATAATTAAATAAACTATTAAGAGATGTTTTTTTTTGATTTTGTGGAGAATTCTACAGACTAACTTTTGGAAAAAATTCAAATCAAAGAAAAATTTTTTCAATATTTTTACTAATGTGGCACTTTCTTACGGTTGATGCAAATTCTGGTCAATAATAGCTTAGTTGTTACTCTTCGAGTGTATATATTCAATACCTTTCCATCTTTGAATGTGGGAAAGATTCAAAAAAAAAAACATGGGGTCATCACGTATGAAACACCATTTATAAGCACATCAAGCATCACATTCTCTTCTGTTCTTTTCTTGTTCTTCTGCCTCAATGAATTGTAACTCAAACAGACTCGATGGCTCCGCATATATATTAATATTCATACACGCCATACACCCATAACTACAATGCGAGTACATTTTTCTTCCTCTTTTTTTCTTTTTTTATCCACTATATATGTTACTAACTATACTATCTCATCATTTCTCTTTTCTATTCAACCAAAGATATAATGTCTGTTGAAACAAATAACAACAACTACAATCATCAAGATCAGCGCATACCATTTTATTCTATTGAAGGTACACACTATGAATGTAGTTTTAAACTTGGTCAACTCATAGCACAGCGAATACGAGAACGAATTAAAAAAGAATCGAACGATCTACAACCATTATTTAATTTTATAAAAACTGATGTTGGCTCGAAATATTTTAATTCATATACAGCTACAATTCAAGATGAATATCCTTGGTATTATGATGAATTAAAAGGATTAAGTGATGGCTCTGAAGTTTCTCTAAAACAAATTTTGGTATTAAATTATAAAAATGAACTGAAGGCAGCAAATGATATATACGAGGAACAAGAAAAAGATGAACGAGGACGTAGTTCATGTTCAACAGTTCTTATAAATCGTCTCGACAATTATGAACAGCTGTTGTTTATTGCACATAATGAAGATGAAGCAGATTCAAATTGGAATACGAGTTATATCCTCCAAGCAACAGTTAGATCAAGTGTTTATAGAATTAATGGAAAGGAAGAACTAAGAGAAAGTCCAAATGAACGATTTATAGCGCTTGGATATGCTGGACAACTTGCTGGTAAGTTCTGAGACGAGTTTTCCATTATGTCTCGGTATGTACTTTAAAACTCGTTTTTTTTCTAAGAGATTCGTCTTTTTGATTCTGCACAAAAATATGTGTAAACACTTTTCTAAAATGAAAACTCAGGAAAGTTTTGAAAATTTTTGTCAGTGACAAAATTCATTTTTTAAACAAAACAAAACCATTTAATAAAAGAAGTTTCACTTTTTCGAGTTGATCTTCTAACTATTCTCAACTCATAATAAGTTTTGATTTTAGAAAGTTTCAGAAAAAAAACCAATAGAAAAAATTGATTCTTTACTGATAAAGAAGGTCTTATAAAAATGATCTTTTTTCTTTTCTGCATTTGATAGACTCAGCCATTCTCTTTTTTTTTACGGGATATCTCTTGATGGATGAAACGTCTTTTCTTTGGATCAATTGCAAAATTTCAACAGAACATTCAGATGTGTTTCGATAATTTTCGAAAAACTAAATGTTGTTTGTTGTTTATTATTATCTACCTTACTATAGGTAATGGTTTTGGAGCAAATCATCATGGTTTTGTTTTTACATACAATGGTCTTTATCCAAAAATACCTCGCATAAAAAATTGTCTATCACGTCAATTACTCAATCGTCTCGTGTTAACTGTTGAAAATGAACAACAATTAGATCAAATACTTAAAACACAGTTAACAGCCTATGGTTTCAATTTGAATGTTGGTCGATTTCGTTGTTCAGATGATATTCCTGAAAAATATTTATTGAGTTATGAAATTGGTCCATCAAATGAGAATGAAAAAACAAATCAATGTAATATTAACTATATTTTAAATGAGAAGCAGGTTGAAGGTTGGTAGCTTACAATGGCTACTTTTCTTTTTTTTATCTTAATTTACTGCTTTGCCTATGTTTTAGATACTCGAATTATTATGAAGCATAAGGATATTCTATCATCTTCATTCTCACTCAATTACTATTGCCACTTCAATCACTATATTCATTTACAAACTGTGCCCGAAGAAGATAAGCCACTTTCATCGAGTAAGTGAAGTTGCATCTACGAGGGTTTATTTATGAAGGTACGTTTCCAAGTGCAACTAATTCTTCGTGCTCCTTCATTCGTACTCTGATCGGTGGCTTCTATAGAGACAGTGTTCATGCGATGGTGTCTACCTTGAAAAATAAGAGCAATTTCTCTAATTTTTTCAAGTAAAAGGTCTCCTCAGTTTAATAAATTAGTAAACTAGCATTTAGAAACTTTCACACAATCACATGAGATATTATAAGGATTTGGTACTCGAAAAATCATCAGACCAATTGCAGCTTATCTTATGTTTGATTAGGAAAAATTAGAGATCTGCGGGACAAACTTTTTTTTTGTCCCGTCTCGAAAAATTTTCGGGACTGTACCGCAGTACTCTAGGAAAAATACAACCGTCTCAGCATCAAATCTTTCCTTCCTTTTTTCCCTTCTAAATCTACACAAATTTTCAGAAATCAAGATAACCTTTTCCCTCGTGTCTATTCTCAAGTAGTGCAAATATGTCATACACGTAGATCAAAATAGAACTGATCTGGTAAAATAGACCGAATCGGTCTCAAGTATCAGATAGGAATCGATTGAAAAATGAAAGAAACTTCTTGTTTTTCCTTAAGAAATATTGAAAATAAAACGATTTTCTACTCTAAATAAAAGGAAATCTGCACATGGTTTGTAGAATTTGATGTATTTTTTTTTGTTAATATTTATTACTATGCCAAATAATTTGCATTTCTAAAATCTGATATTTTCCTTATATAGAGACGATATTTTTCATCAACTAAAAATAATTTGAAAATCGCCCAGAAACCAATCGAACTGGATTAGATTCCAAGTTTAATGCAAATCATTTTTCAATATGTTATAAATTTCTTCTATCTCTATTTCTTCTAAAGGTAAAATGCGTGCAAAACGTGCTAGTGAATTTGGTGATATAAAAATATCAAATCAAGCATTGCAATTACTCGGTGATGAAAAATATAAATCTGAACATCCCATCTATCGTCGTGCATCAACAGGTCAAACAAATACGGTAACATTATGTACAGCTCTTATTGATTTCACCACATCAATGCTGTATGTTTATGATGATAATCCAGGATTGAAAACAAGTTCACCTTTTTTTGAATTTGATTTAAATAGTTTATAGTTTAAAAGAAAACTTGAAATATACATTTTTTATTGATTAATAAAATTTTATTTTCGCAAACAGCAAAGAAACGGGAAGAATCGTTAGGAACACTTTGGAAACTTTTTTCGATATCTGTATTAAGTTTCGTTGACAAGTAATCCATACCAGTTTTCGTTCAAAAGATATATCTAACTAACATAAATTGTGAGGATGTGGAGGAGGACAAGTTTAATTCGTCCTCCAATTATTCTGGAAGAGACACATAATTTATTATCATTTGATGCACAAGCCACAGTATGATTTAGCTTACGTGAAAGACTATCTGAAAGGAAATGACTAGAGTAAGACACGAACTCACGATCTTGAAAGTGAGAGGTAGGTATTATGTTTAATAAGTACTAGAATTAGTTTCCACCTTTCTCAAGGATTATCATCAGGTAGTTTTAGCGCTGCATTATCTCTTATATGAATAAGGAGAGTGGACGAGAGGTTGAGTTAAAATCGTCATGATTTAGATTTCGGCATTGCTAAAGAATCTCATTAGATGGCTCGTATAGTTTTATTCTTGATAAACTTATTCTTCGTCTCATAAATGAGATAGATATTTAGTGCATATATTTACATAAGATTAATACATCGCTCTATTCATATTTTTTTTTTGTACCGATTGATTATTTCGCACCATTAGTAACTGTGAGAAAAGAAAGACATATTAATTTTACATGCACTAGTATTTTTCTTTTTTAAATGTTCTCAAATAAACGATGAGTAAAATAATGATGAATTTTTCGATGACAAATTTATAGAATGCATGTCTAATTTTTGATTATCAATCGATTCATTGAATATTTCCATCGAGCGATGATAAAGGTTGCCTATCTCCATCAAATAATCACTACAATGAACTTGAATTTTCTTCTCATGGTCAATACCTTGTTCTTCTATTAACTGATCTTCGAAAAATATGCAAACTTTTATTTCTATTCCCTGATTATATTGTTAAACATTCACCATCAAATCGATGGATTGGTCAAGTATATATTCCACGTTCTTTCTTTCTTATTCATTTCATATTTATACTATTCACAATTAAGGTGATACACATACTTATGAGGCATATTATTCACCATCCTATGATGGAGAAAAACCAGATTTTCGTCGATTTGAACTTTTTCAATAAATAAATAGTGATAGCGGAAAATATAAAATTAACGGTATATGACTTAGAAAGAAGTTTTTATATATTTTATTCTATACAAACGAATTCGTTACAAAAAAAAACAGAAGTTCATCTAAAAGATGAAACACTTTATGATATTTAAATACACCTAGAAACAGTCATAATTGATAAATTCCTATAATCTTTAATAAACACGAAAGACATTGAGATTCTTTTTATGGAACTTTCATAACGAAAAAAGCTATGATTTATTTTTTTTTCAAAGTTTGTTTCAAATTAGAAAGATAAAAATTCTTTTATCTGACAAACATACTAATTTAGTTTTCCATCTTAATATACATAAATGAATTTCTTCTTTTTTTTTTTTTCTTTATAGAAAGTAATACTGTAAGAGATATATTTCTGATAAATGTTTGATATTCATTTAACCCTTTATACCCTGAAGCGGTTCCAGAAGAGCCACTGATAAAATTACCATAAAAGTAGAGTATTGGTCTCCCCAATATACCAATGGTATAGGGAGATCGATCAGGCGCACTACCTTTTGTGCAGGGAAATTTGATTACGACAGTGACCATTGAGATAGAGAAGGGGATGGAACAACTTTAAAAGCCCTACTTCTTTTCTTGTTTATGACGGTGTTAATTAGGCCAATGTCTCTTCTATTCCTTTCTATTAGACTCAAATCCAAAACGAAAAGCTACGAATATAAAAAGCGATTTTTAAACACCACATGTATTTTTGACAGAGATTTCTTAAAAATACAACATTTTTCTTTAAGCAATTTTATCATCAATGAATACATTTAATCGATGATATATATTTTTTTCTACTGCTACTCTGATAAGATTTACAAATAATATATTCATGGTATCCGCTATCTCTCTCTTTCTGTTCAATAGTCGTTTCAGGATCCATCTGGTATCTTACCATTTCGTATCTGCCAAGCCATTTTGAAATTTTTGAAACGCATTTAGTTAAATAGTAGACACTTTTATCGATATATATGACACAACGCAGCCTCGAAATCTCTATTGCGTGTGAGTGAAAAATCGTTTTGTTTTTAAAATTTTGTTATTTTTAAATTCTTTCAAAATCGATAATTTTGAAAGCTATATATCTCGGAGATAGAGCAACCAAACAAAATATTTTTTTTACCAATCGATAGCTTATGGAGTTCTGTAACAATATTGTTTTGGGAGTTTTCAATACCATACTTCCTGTATTTTCTGCAAAACTTTGTATGAATGGGTCAAAAATGACCCAACAGGGTATAAAGGGTTAAAGAAGTCTTTACAATTTCTTACAGAATATCCAAATGTCCGTTTGATTACAATACATGACGCTATATCGAATGAAAAACTCAACAAGCATATTCATATTTATTTTACAAATTACGGATTGTTATATAATAGCAATTGTTCAATGAATACTTTGTTTAAATAGTCATATGACAAGATTGATTTCCATTGTTCTCATAGTGTGGAATGTTTAAATGAAGTTGCATTCGATCATCAACATCGGTCTTGTATATAATTATTCTGAATTAGGTGAACAAGCAATTCGAACAAAAAGTTGTCTGTTACGATTCTCTCTGTGGTCAATCGATGGGTATCGTCAAGTTTGGTGTTACAAAGTCTTTGAAATTTTTCTTCAGAAAAATATTCAATCAGTTAGAAATAATTTTAATGGTTCGTTATCTGAATATGTCAATGGTCTGGTGGTCATGGTACATAGAACAATCATTCAATACTAAGCTTATGAAAGACTCAAATTCGGAACATATAGATTTTTTTGTCACTACAAATCAGTCTACGAATTTTTGCTGTTCAAAAATCTATTTTTTTTATTTAGTGTAGTTTTGATACAATAAACTATATTATTTAAAAAACAATGCCGAAAAATAAACTTATGTTCTAACATGTTCGATCGAACGATATAGAATTTCAATATTGTTGCATGATTCATAAAAACCCAAGATCAATCATTGTTAATTATCTTCATTATCATATAATGTATTTGTTCAGTTGATTTTATTCACTGAAAAGTCATCCATGAACTCACAAGCAATTATTATCAGAGAAATTGTTATCAACGATTTTTTTAGAAATAATTTCAAGGTTCAAAGTTGAAGATATTGACGAAAATGAATTTTAAATCAGAAAATAGCTAATCTCTTTCAAAATTGAATATTAAATATTTTATCTGTTTTCGACGATAGAATATAAGAATAAGAACCTATTCTTCTCTTTGTGATGTTCTCTATTAAGCTTAAAAGCAATAGTCGAAAGAGAAAAGTAGGATGATCAATAATCAAGTTATTAATTGTTTTATTCAAGGTTGATTTAGTTGAAAACTTTTTTCAAACAAGATTTTTCAAATCAGTTCGATTTCAATCTATGGTTTAAATCATCGAGTTCTTTTAAAATATAATCAAATAAATAAAGACAATAGAAATTCTTTTTTATTTTAACTGTCCGTTAACTATGTTAATATAGTTATGAATATCTATCATTGTATCGAATATCATGATAGATTTAATGAAATAGTTGTTGAATAGGGTGTGAGTGTGGCTCTTATCTTCTTTGACATCCACATCCTCGTTGTTTTTACATGGGTTTATTGCCATTGTAAAATAATGAATAATAATGCAGAAGAACATGAGTACAATAAATGAATAGCTCAAGTGAGCATAGTTCGGATTCACCAAAAGATTTCATTAGGCGACTTTATATAGCTACGTATTAAAGAAATTGTTTTCAATGCTCAAACAAATTTTTGTTTGAAGATATGAAAACTCCAAATCATTTTGAAGAAAATCTAACATATAGTTTAATAATTAATTATGAAGTTCGTTGAATGATTACAGAGAGACTAACAAAGAAATCCACAATAAAAACAAAAAGTTTACAACCTACAAAATGAAATATAAGATAAGCTACTGGTTAGAATGATGATGATGATGTTAAGAAAGTCAAAATAATAGAAATACTATTTCAATCGGTTATCTTCCTTTTCCAGTTCTTCTCTAGTTTTTGACTACATTGAGTAACTATTTACAATCATCAATTTCTTGAATGTCTGTTTGTAGTGTAGTGAGTAAGTAGAAAATGAGAGAAAGATGAAAAGAAGAAGCTTATCTAGATGAACTTGTACAATTTTTTTTCCAACTCTATTGATTTTTTAAAAAAAATATTTGGTTACGTTATGGCTCGATCATATTCACATAATTTTTGTCTAGTTTTCATTGTTTCGACTAATGGCAAACAAGATACTGATCGACTAGCCATTGTTGTGAAGAAAATGATTTTGTCACCAAAGAAATGTCTCCTATAATAGTGAAATGAGAACACAATGCAAAAACTTGATGATTGATCTTCATTGAATCTTTTCGAATATAGCAACTACTCTTTGAATTGGAACTCAACAACAGAAATTTTATTGTTGAAGAATGAAGTAAATAGGTAGTCACTTTGAGAGGCTATAAAAAGTAAAGAAATATTAAATCAATCTACATCCAACACGAATCGATTTAGTCAAGAGTCTATTTTCTCTTTGAAAACTACATTCCATCGATGTACCTGTTCGAATGATCGGCTATTCATTCGTAATATGGATGTAGAGAGTATACCATCAAATAGTTTTGAATTAAATGACATAACCAACACAAAAGAAAGAGACAGATTGCAATTGAGAGTTATTTCAAGTTTGATCATTAAGCTAGACTAAATATATCACGTGCAGGAATAAAACAAATATCCATGCTATCGATAGCGTTAACAATAGAGTCATTGGACGTATTATGTACAAAAAATGATAAGAAGCGACAACACCACGAAAAATATTCTTGAAATTAAAGGAAAAAAAAGTAATCAAATCAAAGTTCCATAGCACGCATAATTTGGGTGATTTTATCGACGATATACTAAGAGAGAAAAAAGAGAGAGAGAGAGAGAGAGAGAGAGAGAAATAAATCGATGACCAACGAGAAATGACATACTCGAGCTTCGCCTGTATTTTGATAGGAGACCGACATGTCATGCGGTCGATCTTTTTTAATTAATCCAAGTAGTTTTGGTTCCTGGAAAAAAAATTCCATTTTAGCACTTTAGAAAAAAAAATCATCGTTGAACTTACTTTTAAATGAATTTGAATTTCGTTTGGTTCGAAGTTAACAACAGGTGGTCCCTTCAAGTCTCTGTAATGACAATCCCATTCAATTTCATAGACATTCGACGAGCCAGATTTTCCAGTTAATATTAACAATCGTCTAGAAAATTCACTAGTGAATAAATTCGATTGAAAAATAATCAGGTGATATTTACTTGAAACCAGCCAAAAGGATAGTCGACGAATCTTCAGTACAATCAATATGAGCAATATAACTGTTTGATTGACCGTGCTTTTCATCATTGATTCTCTGATAAATGGAAGAAAAAAAATTCAATAAGAAAAAAACTTTGTGAAAAACTAACATCGAAAATATATAATCCTCTAATTTCATGAGCACTAGAAGGTCGAATAATACCATCTCGACCAACATGTCGTGGGGATCGAACACGATGAACAACTTCTTCATGTACAGCAGCTCTACAAAGAGAGCATAATCGAAAGATCTGATCAACAAAAAAAAACAAAATCTACTCACCGTTTGATCACATCAAATGATGTACTAGTAAAATCAGCAACACCACTTGTCGGTCGTGCAACAAGACCGAGAAAACCTTTACCTAAACCTTTGACAAAGCCTCTTGTGCCTCGTTTTTTCGCACCAGCTACTGGTTTCTTTACTACACCGGTCACACCGTGGACAACATCCTATTTGAAACAATGAATATATCATCATGGAAAGAATAATCAGGTATAACACACGAACCATGCCAACATTTTTACCACTTAGAATGACATCAGATATTGAATGTCCAGCCACTTCTTTACGAGCGATACGAGCATTTTGGTAGTCTTGATCGAATGTTAACGTTGCTAAACCTTTGCTTGCTACACCGGTTATCTTTGAAATAGCACCAGCAGCACCACCAACAGCAGAAGCAACTAAATGTTGAGTACCTAATGCTATACCTTCGATGAATTCTATTGGACCTTCCATTGCACCCTGAAAGAAAAAATTAATCTCGAATTAAATACAAAAAATTTGTCAAAACATACCTTGTACGGTTCGTAGAAGAAGGATTCAACACCTTCGGCAACTCCACGCATAACACCAAATGGATTTCCAAGAACATCAAGACCGAGAACGACAACATGAAGTTGTCTCATTAATTGATTTTGAAAATGATTCTGAACTTCTTCAGCCAATTTTGCTATAGTAAATAGCTCACTTTTTCGTTCATAATAGTTCAATCTACATAGAAATAGAATCAATTCAATCGAAAATATAATCTACATACTTTAAAATGACATCTTGCACTTCTGCTACATTTAATGTTTGCAGCAAGAAATCGACCAATGGATATTCGGCCAATAATTGCTCATTTGTGCCGAAGCCGTGCATTGAAAAGCTGACGTGAAGCTAGCAAATATGAACAGTAACTTTCAATTATATTTCTTCAAAAGAGAACAACTATTTCCTGGGGCAAGATTCATTACTACTTTCTTCTTTTACTTATAATCTTAAGCGATATTTATTACCTTAAGTGGAGATAAATGCAAATTGTCAAAGAATATTTTTGGTTCTGATGGTAGACTATTGGATTGAGCTTCAGTAATAGCTCGAAGTGGTTTATGAATACGTTTCAGATCGGAATCCATATTAATCGTTGGTGCTCCTGCATCCTAAGCATTTTAGATAAAATTTAGAAGTGGTATTATAGGAAGAGAAAAAGAAATAAACCTTTTCCTGTTTGACGAAGTGAAGAATCGACATGATCAATGTTTGATCAGCACAAAAATCGAATTCTTGTACAAGTAATTTCAGATATCTAAATAACAAATCAATTTTTTTTTTCATCAAATCAGCCTTAATTAAATTATGCCATACTTGATATGTTGTGTATTTGCTCGTGCTTGTGCTGTTTTGAATAGACTCATTTCAATGAATGGTTTTCCAGCTATAAATACAAACAGTCATTCTACTTGTACTCTAATGAAAACAAAACATACGTATATCAGTGCCTGATGCTTTGGCAACAATTGGATGAAGAACAACAGGAAATAGAGTGAATTCATGTTCATTATCAATTTGTATACGATTAATGCGTACATGCAATGCTTGATTACTCGTTGACCAAGCAAAACCAATCCAAAGTCCATCCATTGTTTGTCGGTGAACATATATTCGATGACCTTGATGATCACTCAATTCAGCTGTATCCTCATCGAATGAAACATTCTATCATGGCAAATCCATCAATATAATTACTGTATAATCAAATAAACAAATCTTACATGATTGTTATCAATACGATATTTCTTCTTTGTAATTTCTTGATTGTTCGGATCATCATTGAAATGTTTGATATATGATTTGTAATGTTCATCCAAATTGTGATTGAGCTCGCGTGAAAGTGGTTTCACAAGGTGTTTTCGTGTTTCTGTCCAGATTTCTTTCGATTTACTTATACTAATATAAAACAAATCATTTCGAGCGATATCATCAATGACTGAAATGCCAATATCACAAATACCAATTTGTATATGTTGATTCATCTTTTCACCTAATGTTGGCATCTGAACAAATGATGAATTTAGATTTTGAACATATCAAACTTTTACACCTACACTTGTCACTGTTTCAATAAGATTTATCTCTTCAGTAAAGATTAAGACTGTTTGAGGACCATCTTGGAATGTTGCATAATACACAATTTGTTGATCATTAGTTTCCAGACGACCACAGAGTGGCTAAAAAGGACATCAATATATGGTACTGATGAATTCAATTGACTTACGTTCAGTTCGATCGTTGCACTTGGACTATTAGATGAAACGAGCAATTGTTGTGGTTTCAATGGATCGATCCATGTGTAATAGACATAATGTCGTGGTGGTAAAATTTGTGTTCGACTATTTCGATAAAGTTATTATTTAGAAGACAATGAAGAATAACAAACTTACATATCCTCGACTTGACAGAATACAATGGATCGTCTTTTTAAACAATTGATCAAAAGAACAGGCGAATCACCAGTCTTGTAATCGCCAAAAACAATACGAAATCCATCATAATCGGTGGCAACAACATCAACTTGAAGTGCAGGACGCTCTTCATCATCCATATGCAATAATGCTCGATGTTTATCATTGAATCGAAATACAATTGAAGAGAGACAATTATGTGAATAACGAACACGCATGAGACCTCGTTCGATATCACGTGGCCAAAATGGAATAATCTAGTGTATTGATATAGATGAAAATTCCACTGAAGAAAAACTTACTCCTTCAGGTTTGATCGATCTCCAGTGTTCTTCTTCTCTTACTGATTGTGCTTCAGTAACTTCAACTTCGATCTAGATTTTAAATATGAAATAAGGTGATATATATTATAAAGAAGAAATAGATCGTACAGTTGATTTATTGATGACAACTGTCGATGGAGCGAGTGTTAGAATTTTTGTCATACCAAATGAAGTTGTTACGATATCAATAGCGACCTATCATGTGAAATAAGCCGTTCAAGATAGTATTCAGTATAATTGTTTCTTACCATATAAGTTCGATCATTGGCTACTTTACAACTAGCCACTCCAGTGGTTTTGATAACATCCAATGAAAAGCCTTCGGACCATTCGGATAATGTCTCATCTTGTTCCATACTGAACAGACGTATATGACCCTAGAATATCAAAAGATTTACTAATAGTATGATATTTAATTTATTGAATGAATGTACTTTTTTCTTCTTGTTACTATCAAAATGTTTTGGACAAACAAAAAATGCTGGTTCGACAGCTTCGATCAATGTTTTTTCGTTTTCGATCTAAAGCAAGAAATATGATTGTTCAAATGAATAAGATATCGACATACCTTCAATTCAAATTTCATATCAGTACAATTGATAATCCAAAATGGAGAATACAGCGAGACACGATACGATTGTCGATAGGTATCCACACGCAAGAGTAATTTCTAGAAGAATATTTAGCATAGACACAAAGAACACACAGATCAATCGAATTCATACTAATGTTTCTTGCGTGGTAGCATTATCAAATATGACGACATGATCATTGTGACTACTATCACTTTTGCTGTCTAAATCCACTGGTGACGAAATCCATGTCGCATCATTATAGCATGGAATCTAAGATAGAGAACATAGATGTCTTTTATAATTTGAATTCGAAAGATCATTTTCTCATTCAAATCTATGATCATCTCGGAATGCATTTTTTTTTTGTTCGACATGGATTTTTCTACATTTGAGAAAGAGAACATACCACAAATTTCAGTACAGATTTTTTGCCACCTGAAACACTATGATACAAATGGCTTGGTTTCAAATCGACTTGTTCAACAGTCTAAATATAAGATTGTTGAAAATATCAAATATCTATTCTACTTTACATCAATCCAACATTGAACATCGAGTGATAATAAATTAATAATATGAAGAGCTAATTTGACGTAGATATGAAATGAAGTTCGAATAGGTTCATCTGTACTTTCCGAGTAAGCCTCTTTTGATTCTTTGTAAAACTAGAAAACAAAAAAAAAACTCGGATGAAACGAAATCTATGCTTTGATAATCGAGAAACATACAACAAAATGAGCTTCTTTGCCATTATTCGTTTTTAATACACGATCAGCAGAAGACTCGATTGACCAGTCGAATGAAATAAAATCTCGACCTTGATCCGTCAAGTTCGCACTGCATGAAATTAATCATCAGAAATTAAAAGAACAGAAGAGAATCTTACTCATCAATACTAATAAATAGACGTGGACTAGTGCGAACATAGAGAAGATTCAATGGAAGATAAAGTTCTCCACCGGCATCAATACGAGCGACTTCATGAACTCTTCCCATTTCTACTGAATCGATATCTAAAATCATTACTGGCATAGTCGCTCTGTTGAATACCTTCAAAGAATAAAGATAATATGAAACAATCTAACAAACAAAGCTTACTTTAATAATTGAACTGAGGACAATTCGTCGACGAAAGTTATATAATTGAGAATCACAAAGCAATTGAACAGGCCAATTCGGTATACGTGATGGACCAAAGTCAAATACTCGTCGCCATGTTTGATTAACATCTACTGTTTTTACTTCATCATCAATCTAAGTAGTAAAGATAATTATTTCAATGAAATTTCATGGAAAATATTGAACTACATTACTTTAACAGAAAATTCTTGTCTTCGATTGGCTATTTGTTCGGATATAGCTGGAATCCGTGTCGCTGATAATCGTTCATCAGGAACTGTCAATGGAATTGAATCATGATATTTGAGATGAAGTGGTGTCTTTAATTGACTATCTTCGAGAAACTTTAAAATGAAATACATACATATAATTCTTTTTCAATGTAACTATCGATTGATTTACCTGAATACCAGTGATATGATCAATATCAACATCACCTCCTGTCATATTATGTATTGATAACATTGATTTATCATTATCATCTTCATTCGAGGATAAATCTTGATTATAAGCTTCTTCGAACATTTTAGATAGACGTTGAGTAAGACTAAACATCGTTTTTGTCACAGTTATGTTAAGCAAATGATCAGCTCGAATAGAAATTGCTTGTTTAGCATCCAAACTCTTTTTCTCCTCTTTTTGTTGTTGATCACTATCTGATGATGATTTCGGATCATCGAGCAAGAATCGAGACTGGAATAGTAGTGAATCATGAGTTCATTAGAAAAAAAAACAATCGAATAAGAAATGATTTACCTCTTCGCTATTTTCTTCTTCTTCGTCTTCATACTAAAAAAAAAGAGAAAAAATTTGTTCAGCAAACAAAAATTGCTAAAGCTGCTTACACTTGAAGTTGAACATGTAATACACCATGGACAGACTACATCACCACTTTCATTGATCACTGGTTCAATCAATGGTTCCCACGCAAGTAAATTATCATTAAATAAGGCTAATTCAACATGAATTTTCGAAGAAATACTTATCTGAATACAGAAAGATTGAATAGTATTCAGTGAAACATCTATACATACATTACTAGACCAATGTTTCACGTCGACAAACAGATCTGAAAGACATAGAGCAATAACTGGTTTTGTCACTGAACCTGTACCAAGTTCAAGTTTAACTTCGATTATATTCAAATTGACAATCAACTAAAAATGATGATATCAATGGAATTCTTGAATTTTTTATCGTCATACTTCTTGAGAACGAATATTCTGCGTTTGCGTTTGCTCTTCTTTTTCTTTCTGTTTCTGTGCTTCTTCAATAGCAGGTTTCTTTTGTGAAGGAGTACCAGTAGTTACTTCCAAAATATCCGTTTGTTCCATCATTTCCTGCTTCTCGTCATTATCTATCAAGTGAAAAAGAATATCGCTTATATGGAAAGTAAAATTCTTCGACCAACCTTCGATAAACCAAAAATTCGCATCTTTGAATGGTTTGGGATCAAAGAGTGTTTTCGAATTAATTTTATCCGCTTCAGTTTGCACGGCAATCTAAAGAGAAAGATTCAGATATGAAGAAGAAACAAGACAAATGCCGTTACTTGAAGTTTGCCCATGGAGTTAATCACATTACGAATAGTATGCACTATTGCCGGAGGAATTTGAACAGTAATATCTCCAATACGTACATCGATTTTTTGCTGTTCGACATTTATTATTAAAATTGCATTGATATCCAACGGTTGTAAAATCTTTTCATACCGAGATCGATAATCATAGAAAGGAAAAAGATATTATTCTTACGCGATATTTTATTTTCGAATTTTTCAATTCGGCAAAATTCGAATGGTAAATAGTCAAATCTTTCAATGAAGCGGATATTTTCGTATTATCACCCACAATGACCATGTGAATCTGTGAGGTTACCTAGACAAATCTTATATTTAGATATGAATCGATATTTTCGTCCTGTACTTACATCAAGTACAAGACAATTTGAATTGATATTATGTTGATCTTCAAGTAAAATGATTTCTGAAGTCTTGATCACGAACTCAACTAGAGTTTCAAGATCGCTTTCTGTCTCGGATGACGGAGCTACAATAGAAGAACTGATTTCGAGAAGAAATTAACGAAAAGAAGATATACCGGCAGCGGTCTTGGATATTCTCTGTAGAGTGTTGGATGGTCGATGATATGTGCCGATAGGTTTTGCTGGCAATGGTAGATTGTAATTAATATTCAATCCTGGTTCTGAATATATCATCGGTGGATGTGGTTTTTTTTCATCGGTTGATGATAAACTCGAGATGAAGAAGTCTTGTAATGCCAGTAAATAATCTGGACTCATACAAATGTAAAAACTCTCCAACTGAGCATTGACTAAGAATATCAATACTCATCAAAACAAGAACAATCAACAATTTTCACCTACCTTGTCGAACGCCCATCGAACGTTGTTCATTCTTCGGTTTGAATTCGAAATTAACAGCGAACATTGGTACCTTCGGATCGATCTTAAAGCCTCGATCAATCAGACGAGTTACGCAATCTGTTTCACGTCGATCGTCTAATAAAAGTTCTTGAATCTGTACTTTACCACTGTAACTTGAATCGGATAATTGACGAAAGTGACCTTTGAGCATTTCAAGTCTTAAATCGACGAATATCAAATTTTCATTCCGTAATGTATGTCGATCTCTGATATTGTAATTGCCAAGATAGAGTGTTAAAGCAATTTTCTTAATTTGAGCATCGAAACGAATTTGTTGGATGATTTTCTGATCGGACTTTTTATTTGTCACAATAACTTTCTCTTGATTGGTTTGTTTGAATTCCGACTGATCTTGAATAGCAGGTTTCGGAATCTTATGATAAATCTTCTCCGAAAAATTCTCCTTTAATATTTTCATTACACATGCATAATCATTTTTAGCTAGGATAAATTGAATCGTATCCCAATAAGCTTTAATCGAAATTTGTGATTGATGTGGAGCTTTGTCCGGATGTAAAAGACGATCGATTAAAATACTAAGTTCAACACATTCGAGTAGACTAATATCACCAAGAATTTCATTGGTTTTACTCAGTTTAACTCGACTAATCAGTAAATTATTCATAGTTATCACTTGTTCTTCGATAAATGAATCATCAATAACCTGTGTTCGAATAGTTAATTGACCTAAATCAATAAATAATCCTTCATTCGAATAGGAACTAATTGGAATGAATATCGATGGAGCATTGAGTACAACATCGAGACGAAGTTTGCGTGCTTGTTCTTGGAATTTTGCCATCGTTTCGGAGATTGTACTTGTTTCAGTCTGATTCGAAGGAACTTTCTGTTCAATACTTTTTGTTTGGAACATATTGATCATATTTAAAATGAGATCTATATGCTTGTAGAGAAGGATCAGATTCATTTTGGTCAATTGAAGTTTAATATCACAATCAATATCATCAAGAGTTTTTTCATATTTTTTCGGATAATTGAATAGACAGAAATCGAAACGTAACAATTGTTTCTCATTACCTAGTTGAGAGATAATCTTATGGAAACGTGCTTTCGGATTTGGATCAACGACATAGAAACTAGTGAAAAACAAATTAGCCATAGTTTTTTCGATCGAATTCAATACATAAGCATGAAGTCCTTGGATTTGGATATCAAGAATTTGAGAATGTTCAGATCCAATGATTGCACGTAATCCATCGAGATTCGCCTCGAATTGAAATGTTGGCATTGATGATGATGATGGATCCTGTTTGACCACCTGTTTCGGTGCAGTTCGTTTGTTGACTGATCTTTTAGTAGATACATGATGTTGCTCTCGGCATATTTTTTCCATAAGATCATTTTTAAATTGCACAATAGATGAAAGTGCTTCTAACTGGAGTATCAGCACAGGTTTACCGATGTGGACACGTACTTGATTTTCAAGGCTATTGTAAGGAGTTGAGGTAAATAAAGGATTGACTGGTGATGTGAGTAAACCATGGATATTAATCCATGGAGCATCTTCTCGATCAGGATAACGTTCAATAGCGATTAAACGAAGTCGTTCGTTATCACTAGTAATAAATTGTTCATGAACAATGCTTAAATCGGCTAGAGAAGCATCGAAATTGATGTCGTATGTTTTCATTGTTGCTCGAGCAGCAATTAATAAGATTGAAATTCGAACAAATGGATGAGTATCATGAGATCCATCCGGTACAGATTCTTCGATGAGCAAATCAATCTAAAGATATAATTCGATACAATAGAAAATTTCGAACATCTTGCACTTACTCGTGGAAGTTCGAAAGTAGCTTCGAGTTCAATCACTTGATCTTGTGATTCGATGTTCTTTTCTTGTGTTTGGTCGTTCGTTTGTCCTTCTTCTTCAGCACTACTCGCTTCCTGCAAAATATTCTGTACTGGTGTCGTATTTTCTACGGCTTCCAAAGTTTTCTGTGTATCTCGATGAGGTACAGCGACTTCGAAGGTTTTTGACTATTACAAAACGATAGATTGAAGAATAAAAATAGAAAGATTTTTACTAACCTCGACAAGTATTTCAGTTTCAACTTCTTCTTCTTCTTTCAATTCAGGAAATGGAATAGATTGAATAATTTTGTTAATACCAAAAATACGTGCATCAGACACGCGACCATCGATAGTTGAAATGTGTGCACCGATTTTCCAACTAAAAAATTACAAACGAATCAAAACTTCAGCTATTCTTCTATGTGAAGAACTTTTCTGCCATCTCAAATGATCACTGAATTATTTAGATTTTCAAAACATTAGAAATCTTTTTGAGATGACATACGCTGGTAAAACAGGATTGTCGGAGTAGATACACTTGTCTATATCCACACGGATTGTAATTGGTTTGATCAAATGCATTGGAGAATCTCGTTGAATACGAGCATTATACCAATCATCGTCTAAAATCGAAGTAGACAGAATTAAAGTAGAATAATGAATATTTTACTCTGATTGGCATAGAGTAATTGGATGTTCTCCAAGCGAAGTTTTAATGGAAAGTACGGTGATTGAGGAACATCATCAGTACTCTAGAAGAGAAACGAGTTAATCACGAAAAAAAACAATGAAGCATTGGCCATACTGGAACATCTTCAGTTGTTTTTCCTATTTCTGCATCTTGGTCAGTATAACTAGGACTACCTTTAAATGTAAAATGACCAAAATCAAAGCAAAGTACTGGACAACCACTAGAAAGACAAAGAAAGATCTCTTTTCAATTGCAAGGATCTTTTTTTCCTACCGTCGATAGACACCATTTTCAGGCAAGAGAAAATAGAACGATGAAAGATCAATATCAATGTCTGATGATTGAATATTTTTCAGATAATGATTAAAGAGGAAATGTGAACGATATTTGATATCATTGAATGTTGAATAAGCAATTTCTTTGATGCTGAAAATAAAAAAACAATAGACAAAAATCATATATAGAATCGACTGTCTTTTACCCTTGCAAATCACGTTTTCGATCAGGTTGAAAACATTCAACAAGTTTGTTGATAGTGAACTAATAGAAGAGAAAATACATCGAAAGATATTTTTTTTTCCTCGCTAAGTAATACCGCATCGTAAATCATTTCGAGTGATTGTGATATGACTTGTATACGATTGTCAGATGGTTTATTCAATGGGTTAGTTTCATATTCGATATGTAAGAAACTTTTCTGTTCTAATTGTGCTCGATTTTGAGCAAGAACTGGACGATTGTCATTTAACATTTCTGTTTGAAGAACATTTTCATCAATGCCAAATACTTGAAATGAGCTCAAATCAACAACAAATCTAATCAAATCAAACTGATTTTAAAAAAAAACCTATGGAATGATCAGTAATTTACAGAAAAGCTGGTTTGGCCGGACGACGTTTGAATATCAAACCGGCATCAGGTATAGCAGCACAAGTAATGACTTTAAATCTACGATGAAAAGAATAAAATACGAGACAATCGGTACGTTTTCTTTTTACTGCGTATCGGTTTCATTGATATTCGACCAAACATTAAGTTCGAGCATATTCAATCGAACGGATAGATCAATATCAACATACTAAAATCCAAATATTGATCATTGAACACTATTAAAAATGTATTTACTTCTTCTGGATAATTTGATTTTGTATTATTGTCGGCATAGCCAATGGCGTCATACAATTTCTTCTTTTCATCAGCTGCCGTTGCACTGCCAACATTGAATTCTGTAAAAGAAAAAAAAAAGTGAACGATCAGCATTATCACATCTAATTGAATGAATCTACCTGGATTCTCCTGATTCGAATCACCACTCCAAAAACTAGCCACTTTATCCCACCAAGATTGTTCTTTGTGTTCAGCCTTCCTCTTTTTAAACTATAGAATAATCACCAAAAAAAAATAATCTGAATAGAAACAATCAAATTCTTACTTCGATTTCTACAATTCGACGAAGATAGAGTAAATTAAATACATCAATATTTTTTTCAAGCTCCTGAAATATCAATCGAGAAAAAGACTTTGAAATATTCATTATTTGATTAGTTTACTTGAGTACGTTGTTTTTGTTTTTTGCTTGCATCACCATTTAATATTTGAAAGTAAATTTCATGATACTCGCGAAATCGATCTAAATTCGTTTTGATATTTTCCCATTTATACGATGAAAGTCGTGGTCGAACTTCTTCATGCAAAATTGCCGCATAAGCAAATTTCCATCTATAAAAAGAAAATAAAAACAAAAAATCAATTCTATATTCTTACCGTCGTAAACTTGGCTTTAAAATAGAAGCATTGTCGATCATGGTATGATATTTAATATATTTTGATTTTAAATTAAGACGATCTTGAAATTCCAATAGATCGAGTAGATCCGAATACTGAAAGAATATTTTAAAGAAATAGTTATTGATTTGTCTTTATTCTAACCTGATTACGATTGATATTTAAACTAATCTGTTCCAAATCGATTTTAGCATCGAAAACTGGTCGAACATATTCTTGTTCACTAGGTGCTAAAGAAATTTTCAATTTTACTTGGATATTCAATGGTCTCAGAACTAAGAAGAAGACTAGATTCAGTGAAAATAACATGAGGAAAAAAAAGAATTCTTACTGTAAGCCATTTCACCGGATACTCTTTGTTCATTCTGGTCAATATTTTCTTGTAATATATCCTATATTAATCATGAAATAAAATATAAATCAACGAAAAAAAAAAACACCTACGACAATGTCCTCTTGTGGTAAGTCTGATTGAGTTTGGACATTTGAATTCCAATAAATCGATAATGTACTCATTTCACCAAACTTGTACATAATTGGTGAGTCTTCTTCCGATATGACAGGCTCCCATTCAGTATTTGTTGTCTAATAGAAAAACAAAAAACATTTGATTTTTGTTTTTTGCTCAATACAATAACTTTGTTAGGCATACGAAAAGTTTGATATAGTTCAGTGTTATACCAAATGAATATGGATGTTCAGGTTTAGTTGTTTTATCTTCAAAAGCAATATGAATATTGCTAATGGAAAATTCCAGATTACGAAGAATATGCATTTGTAATCGTTCCAAGAATGTATCTTTGTGTTTCGAGATTGTTCTGGAATTTTCTATTCAGCAAGAAAAAAAAATCTTTGCATCTGGAAAAAGATCTTCATCTTACCATATTCTTCTTTTTCTTTGCGAAATTGTTCGATTTTATGTACTTCTTTCATTTTTGATTCGTATTGACTTTGTTCATGTCGTTCAGGATCATATTGAACATCTAGATGAATACACAAATCGATATAGCAAAAAATATGTTTCATACAATAACAAACCAGTTTTAGGTGTAAGAAGTAGATAGACACCATCGATAGTGATCGTGGTTGGATGTATGTATAAATGTTTCCATGGAATGTGAAGTGACAATTTGTCTAAAAATAGTTTACTCGATTTTTGGAATAAATTGGATTGAACAAGAACTTACGTAAGTGACCAGCAGCCACCGTAACTGGAAGATTGAAATTGGCCTATTTATATGAAAACTAACGTTTCGATATTGATCTGATGTGAAGAGACTTACAAGTGCATTTGGTTTCAGAGACAAATCTTTCAGAACAACATCGCCTAAAAACTAAGGGTCATCGCTAATTTTGAACTAAAGACTAGACTTACCGTTCCATAAGTCAATTTTGAGCTGTTTGGAATCTAAATTCTCGATATAATCTCCCAAATATTTATCAATAAAGTAGGCAGTTAAATGTCCGAAAACCATTTTGATGATATTTTCAAAATGGTGCGTCGATCAATACAAATGTTTGAGCAGACAAGAGGAAATTTTTGTAACAATATGAATCTGAAAAAGTTTATCGTGATTTGCATAACTAGTCATTGTCAAATTAATCGATTGTGTCAAAAAAAATATGAAATCAAGCAATAGATAAAAGTTGCTCTTCAAGACTAATTTATCATCATAGCACACATACGACAACGACCGAGAAAAGAAATGCAAATCATTCATGATGAAAAATAAGACAAGTTGCATTCTAACAAATTTAGTAACGATTGGGCATCCAGATCGAGCATTAAGACGACCAAATACGACCGTACACGCCGGTAAACGGCTAACATAAGGCTGTACATGTTAGCCTAAACGACTCGGAAAGATGTAAGAATATCTCTTTCACTTAGAATAAAATAAATTGGATTGAAAGTTATCTAATTTTAAGGCTTCTCGAAAAAAATTCTTTTTTCTGTAACGGAATCATCTAATATAATAGTGTAGCTTACGGCAAGGCTTTGAAAGACTTTTTTTCTATTACAATCGAATCATTTGGACTAAAGATCACCTTATTTTAACGCTTCGCAAAACAAGGCCTTAAAAGTCCTGTAAAGGTATTTTTTGAGGAAATCCATTTTCTTGCAATAGAATCATCTCATATAAAGTTATCCCTTCTAAAAAGGCTTTAAGATGCTTTTTTTCTGTAAGAATCTATGCATTTGGATGAAAAAATCACGTTATTTACAAAGTTCTGAAGAAAAAACCTTTAAAGGCCTTTTTCTAGAAAAACTCAGATTTCTGCATAGAAATCAACTAAAAGAAAGAAGAATGCATGAAGAGCATCAATTCCATACATTTGGATGTCATATGTTGACGCTTCACTTTCCTCTGAGAAAGTTTTTCAGAAAAAAGAGTTTTATAAGGAATTTATACAGCTAGGTGTGAAACTTTTTACGTGTACAGATGTGGGTTCGGAGGTATAGGTGTTTTTATCGTGATATAAAAACTTGTTTTGAGTCATAGGTACTTATAGGAATATTTGCAGGAGTTCCTGGGTACTCACTAGTTCTTTCAGGATTTCTAAGCCTACTTACTCGAAACTCAGTCAGAATCGAAACGAACTGAACCATTGGTGGCAGTCATATATATATATAGAGTACAGCCAGATCGGTTATGAATTGTCCGTCCGTGGTGTTTGACTTATTACCTAATAGCGCTAAAAAGGTTTTTAAGTATACAAAATGGGTTTCATGTTAGAATTATCGCCATCCATAATCCATGAAGCATGTGTAACTTCTGGAGCCTAACCGGAGCTGCTAGTAGCGTTGTCTGGAATGTTAGAGACATCATATGAGATTGTATTGGTAACATGCTGTGTTATATTACTACAATCTAGACTGCGCGCATTTAGTGGTATCGAAAATAAAGCTAACTTATTTTAAACATATCGGTATTAAATACAGATGAGGCTAATACTGTGAAAGTATAGGTCTTGATGATCAATGATTATGCAAAAGCAGTAGCATTGACATTGTTAGATTTTAATTCTAAATCTCAAGGACATTCCTTAATCTTAATGTTGGCTCACGGTGAAATACTAGACAAAACGATGAACACATACTATGGCTTATGATATTATCCAAGCATCGTTCACAGTCGTCATCATATTGTTAAGGTAGCTGTAAACGGCGAGAGTTGCCGTTAATAGTTTTGGATGACCGTAACATCTCGTAAAGTTTCCTTTACGATTGCTGTAAGGGGTTACTGTAATCAGCGGACGTATAAAATGCCTTACAGTATTTCGTCTGATCAGCGTATACAGTTGTCGTATTACTACGCTGGCCATTAACGGCGACTGTTTATGATCATCGTTTACAATTACTATAAATGGCTCCCATAAACAGCTGCCGTTATCCACTATAACTGATAGATATACGGCCGTTTACGACCAAATATGATTGACCTAGGCATGGTTACAAAAGCGCTCCCATCTGTATATTCTTTACTAGTGAGAGCTCGTGCATACTGTACGGATCCTTTTTTTTCTGTAGTTCCACATCTGTCCTTTAGCCTTGATTCGGTAATAGACAATCAGACAGTTCGCATTATATATATAGAGAGAGAGACGTTATAGCCTTACCTCTTTGTAGCCTTATATTCTTGTGGTATTACTTCTTATAGCCTTATTCCGTTATTCCCTTATCCCATATATCCCATGCAGCCCCATCTACTTATCTGCTCAACCCTTATCTC